AAAAATCTTTTCACTCAGTCTCTTAAGTGTTGGGATTGCAGATACAACTCACCATCACTCAGCTTGCAAAATTCATATATAACACCACCACTATTTTAACATTGGAAACCTATCTTTACATGGGGAACATTTCAGGGAAAATACTGACCTTTGCAGAGTCTCTGTCTTCCTGACTTCTAGCTCAGCTATGATCTCTTCTAACATGACCTCTTTGGTTCTCCAAGACTGAGGTAGAAGCAGATCTTTTGTATTCCCCTGTTCTCCATGCCGGTCCACCATATAACTACTCCACAGTAATGAAATTGGCCATTTATATGCCCCCTACACTGAACTGTAAGTCCGTATGCAGGACAGTGTCTGGCAAATGGTAAGTTGCTTGGTAAATATCTGTCTATGAATGAAGATCCTTGGCCTCGAGGCTGAGTCTAGGAAGCTTTAGAATCCTTCTCTGCACATGAACAAGTGTGATAACCTTATTCACGCACTTATAAATATATTCCTAAAGCATGTGCCTCTTTTCTTGCTCAGTATTGCTTTTGGGGGGGGGATCCCCAGGAAACACTGAAAGTATAACTGGGACCTGGGACCGAACATGGAACAAGTGGGAAAAGGGAATAGGTTTAGGTGGTTTAGGTCTAGGGAGGCAGGGACAATATTAAAATGCCTCTTGTGAAACCAGTCATGGGGCCCACTGTCCCTCAGATGGATGTACCATTAATGAGGAAGGACTTCCCTGCCTTTCCTCTGTATTGGAACACACTTCTCGAGCATCCAGTCTCCTCCAGGGCTGCATCTCCAGTTGGCCTCAGTCTCCATTCAGCATTACTGTTTCTCAGTTTCCTGATGTTGCCAGATGTCAGCAGGCTGGGTCAGAGATGTCTGCCTCTACTGTCCACAGGGAAGATGTTGGATCGGGGTGCCTGTGAGACTCACACAGATTCCACTTAGAGCCTGAGTGAGGAGGGAAAACATCTCTCAGCAGATTGTCCACTTCTTTAATGGAATCACTAAGTAACCTAGTTTTCTGCAGCTCCTAAAAAACATGTGAGTGAAAGATTACTTCTATATATGGCCAGAGAATAGTCCAGTCGCAGGGCAAGCTTCCTGGTGGACATGCTCCAGTTTTTCCAGACCTGCAGACTCCAGAGACTT